AAATATATATATAAGTTCTAAGACAAAAGGTAACAGAAAACATGTCTCAGTGGTATTTATCAAAACCACTCATGTATAAGCAGATTTGGAGAGGTCTGTCACATATTCACAGAAGACAGGAACATGACCACAGGAATGATAGTTGGTGTGTTAATGCTATCAAAATCTCTCTCAACAAATAAGTATTGAAAACAGGCAATGGAATGGAGTTCAAAAAATCAGCAAAGCTTATAAAATAAACACTTCATGCGTCCATTGCTTCTTAATGAAAAAGAATGGAGCCTCAATTTCTGCTCAGAAGTGGTGATTCAATTATTGGATAAACTGAAACGCTTGTCAACGGAAACAGTTTTAAATTAGTTGCTACATAAACTTTACAAGTAATGGGATGAAATTAAGAGATGAAAATTTGGGCTGAATCATCAGGAAAAAAATTCTAATGGCAAGCCCTATTTTACAATGGAAGAAGTTTTCTAGAACAGTGGTGGAAGCCCTGTTTCTTGGCACATTTTAAACAAGGCTGGACTCAGCATTAGGAAATATTCTATCTGTCACAATCCTGCACTGCCAGGAGAATAGTTTTTCATCATCAGTATCTTACTTTCTGCATATGGCCCAATACTGACTGATCAATTAGATTAACATCTAAGATCAAGTAGATTAAGATGTGTAAAGCACAGAACACATAAGCGCATTTTTCAGCTCTAATCATGCATTTGAGAACTCTGCTGAACAATGATGAATTTAAGGACCTGCTTTTAATATTGGGAACTTTAGAAGAAGGAAATTCTACAGTAAAATCTGTTCGGAAAACAAGTGTTTGCTTTACAAAAAAGGCTTTGAAGTTTTAATAAACCAAAAACAAAATACATTTTTATCACAATGAACTTAGAACTTCTCTAAACATAGGGCAAAAGTGTGAGAGAAGGGTGGACACATATATTTACCTATCAATGAGGCTTGCCAATAGCTAGTTTATTCACTGTGTATACAGGAGATCCAGATTCAAGTTTATCCTGATTACCAGAATGGAGTTATATATAAGCTTCCACAACTGCCTGCAGCTCCAAGCTACTGGCTATACTTCAGGTAGAATTTTTCCATAAAAAGCTTTGGTTTCAATTAGTCAGTGTTTGCTGTTAAAAAGTGCCATCCAAAAGTTCCTACCTAGCTCATCTGGATGCTCACTTAAAGAGAGAAAGGGTGAAAAGAGATAGAAAGAAACCATTCTGACAGATGTCTGTATTGTGCTTCCAGGTACCCATATTTAGATATGCTTTCTAAATATAAATGATTCAGTGCAACAAAGGTGCTACTGGCAGTGCCAAAGCCTATATAAACTTTATTAAATAAAGCAGACCAGATTAAAAATTGAAGTAACATTCTAAATTTAGGATTCTTATTCCTTCTTTATTACCTTTTTAGTAAACAATTGTCACAGAAGCCTTATGTGAAAATATTGATCCTATTAACTGCACAACCAAAATCAATAAATGGTAAGACTAAAAATCTTTTTATCTATTACTTTTTTTTTTTTTTTTACCTTAGCCCCATCTTTCCCCGGCTCTCCCTTGATACCTGGTAAGCCACGTGGTCCCTAAGAGAGAAAAAATGAAAACCAGCTCAAATACTAATACAATCTGATACAGAATGAGACACAAAAATGTAATACAACATGACCCGGTGACTGGTGTGTCAGCTGGCTGATCACAACATTTGGTAACTGGATACAAAAGCAGAACCAAGCATGAAATGTATCCCGCATGTATGAATATGGCACAGCATCACAACCCATGACTGGGAAACACCAAAACAATTCTTTGCTCTAACCGAGGACCACCCCAAGAAAAAAAGAACGTGTCACAGCCTGTACCAGTCCAGAGATGTCCCTTCTTTTCAAATATCCATCAGACAGTTTTCACATATGTCATGTCGCAGACTTGCTCTTGGCCCCAGCATACTCTCAGATATTTAATTCAACAAATTAGTAAGGCCTTGACTATCCAGCCAGACTGGATCACGCAATAAGTAAAATACAGTACTGTATGCAATGTAACTGTCCCAGTAAGGGCTACTAAATTAATACAACGAAGAAAGAAAAAGAGTTCTCCTCCGTCAGCCTGGGCTTTATCTGAAATCTTCTTTTGGACTTGTGAACTGTGGGTAATCAAACACCATGACAAGGCTTCATATCACTGTTACTGATTCATAGAAAAGTGGAAGGAACTCCTGCTTGGCTTCTGGGCCAGGATGAAAACGTCTAAGCCTCAGCTGAGTCCTGCTCCTACAGGCCTTACCTAGCAATAATTAGATTTGCAGTCTACTGGTCAAACCTCAAAGCCATGTGAGTTCCAGAGAAATTCACCCAAGGACGGCCTCTGACTTCATGCCATCCCTGGAGCCCTTTTCATTCCCCAAACCTCAACTCTGAATGACAAACAATGGTATCGGGAGAGAGTTGGCAGGATTTTCAAATTCTGGAAATGAAACAGAAACCTACTTGAACCCCTGGAGTTCCTGGGATACCCGGAAAAAATCCTGCTGATCCCTGATACCCCTAAGGAAAAGAAACCAAGACTTGTGACTTTTTGCAAGTTATATTTACAAATTTCCAAACATCTATTTAACCAAAAAACAATCCTCCTGGTTACTAGAGAACTGTTGTCACAATCCTGTCATTTTAGATCACAAATTTTAGTAACTGCTATCGCAATCATACATTTGAGATTTAGATTTCAGCTCTCAGAAGCTTTCATCTCTGCATTGGAAGTTTGCAGCCTCAAGACTTGAAGCTAAAATCCATTATTTTAGAATTGTTACATGAGAATGTAACATATTGTTTTATTCTCCACTAAAGGAAAAAAAAACAAGCAACAAATTAACCCACATACATAGACACTTTTTTCCCCCTCTCTCAAGAAAAACAGCTGAAAAATGCCAAGATTTTTAAAGGCTCATTTCCAGTTACAGGAGAAGCTTTAACAAACAAGGCATGTTCTAATACATTATGTAGCTAGTTTTCTAATATCTCTACATAATAAAAATTCCATTCTCAATACTAAGAACTTAGCTATAAACTTGAAGGTATGTTACAAGCATTGCAAGTAAAAAAACCAATTTGAATGACTGGGACTACAAAAAGAAATACTAAATAATTCATGAGTTGAAAAGAGAATTTCAGGAATGTCTTACTGGGTATTAACATTGGCTTCTGGAGTCACTGAACAACATAAATGACAAAGGCATGAAAACAAGACTACTTGGGAAAGACAAGGGAGAAGTAAACAAGCTCAGTTTGGCTAGGAAATAACCAAGGATGAACAGTAAAGGTCTAAAGATATTTAAGGACTGTAAACACTAAGTAAACAAAACTATTTCCGGTGATGTAACTAAGCATAATGGAATTCAGCTGCAAAAAAAAAATAAATTAACTTGGTGTTAGGAAAACATCCTGACAGAGAGACTTGCGGAAGTCTCTTGCTGAAAGTCTTTAGTACATTTAAAGCATAATTATCCAAAGCATTAGAAGAGAACATTTCAAACCCTTCTCACAAAATACAGAATACAAAGGACAGAAATTCTTATAGCTATTCAAACATGTGTCCATAACTACACTCAGATTTGCAGTCATGCCATGACCTTCTCCCTCACTGACAGTACCAGTAACTAAAAACCTGAGACAAAAGAAATGTTAGAAAGAACTTGATGTATTCAAATTAAGTGTTTTAGCCTTTCTCTGAGAAGTTGTTTATCATCTAATGTTTTTGCCTCAGGTCCTTCCTCCTCCTTTTCTCAAGGAGTTTTTTTCCCATCCTGCCCCCAAACAACCTTCTCTGACACCTCAGTATGCCTGTACTCATCTGCCTACGGCTTCTCTTTTTCCTGCCCCTTTGGACATGTGGATCCGTCAAGTGGCCCTCTCCAGTGGGTCTGTCTGGAGCCTGTACCTTAGTCCTTCCTCTGGGACTTTCCTAAGTAGTGGTAACTCAGGAGCTCAGAATAAGCATCATCTCCTCTCCTCCCTCTACGGTCCTGTAGGACTTCTTGTGGCACCTGCTTCTGCAGGCTACCAGAACTGCCTCTGCAGTGAAGATCCTCTGTCTACACACACCAAAACATGAAAATGAAGGGCAGATCCTGCATTAGATCACAAAGGTACCTAAATGAAGCTTTTACCCTCCAACATAAATTTAGGGGTGACTCCTGATCAAAGATTTATAATCACATGAACATTATTATGGCAAAAGTACAGAAAAGAGTTTTTGTTGCCTTGTCTGTTGCCTTTTTGGCTTTGTTTTGTTTTGGCCTGTTACATTCTTTCTCCATTTGATTACACTTCCTTCCATTGGCTACTCTCTCATCTGCCAAGGCTTTCATCGCTCAAAGCTGCTAGCAGCATATTTTACCTGAGCATGAGCTTCTGGGCTCAAATATCACAGAGGGAAAAAAAAAATCCATCAAGATTATTAAATAAAAGGTCATAAATCCAGTTTTAAAATTTCCCAAGCTTCAGTCTTCTGGGAGATGGGATGATGTACCAAGGCAGTATAACTTCCTGCTTGCTGCTTAGATGTTAATCTAAATGATCTGCCCTTGGCCACTGCTGAATATAGTCATATGGTCTTCTGTGTGAAATGCATAGCCATATGCAACCCAAGTCAGCAGCAGGCATCGCCCTGATTTCAAAGTAGTAGGTCTCAGTGAAGCCAATACATGACTGTATCAGTCAGAATAGAGCAAACATTGTTCCTCTAAGAATAACAAGGTCACAGTGCTACTGAGGAATATGTATTTTTCTGGAATTGAGAGCAGCATTTTACACCTGAATTATCAACTATGTCTCTAAAAGTATCCTGAGAAAAGTCACTGCAGAGTTTATATCAACTTCAATCCCCTTACAAACCATTCCATAGCACAGGTAAACCTATGTATACGTGAAACTGTTACCCATTCTTATTCCAAAAGTACTGTTGAAATAGATAGTCATTGCCATTATACTAGTTCATCATAAAAGATTCAGCCTTCAGTTGGTCATCAAATATTATTAAACTCTAGGTAGTACAGCTGTAATAATGTTCCATAGTTTTTTAAAAAGAAATATTGGAATGATCAGAAATTACTTATTATGTAGGCTTTTGATATTTAATGAACTTTGTATATGGGTATATCAGTAAAGTCAGTCACACCAGATTATTTTTAAACTGCTCATTGCTTGTGGACATTGTAAAGACAAGACAAATGGTTCCAAACTTTCATGAATGAAGCTGGATGGAATACTGGAAAATCATCCAGATTTGCCAGCCATGTGGTTCAAAGTTCAAAATTGACAAATAAGTGTATTTTTTTATTTCTTTCAGCAGACTGATAACCTATCACCTCTATTAACCACAAGTGATCACTGCACAGACTCTGTTCATTTATTTTTTCCCTTAACTTGAGTTTTTCCCCAGTACATATAAAGTATCCTTTGGAATAAAAAACGGCTTTGTGACTGCACAGTCAGGCTGCTGACCATTCTCACAGCCAGCAACCACTCCAGCTGCTTCTTTCTGATGAATAATGCCCATTAAAATGAGTTACAGTTGAGATTCAAATACTATTTTTACCCTTGTGCTTATTTACCAGTGGTACTTCTCTTGACAAGACAATTTAATCATTTCAGGTCCCGAATTCCATGTTTGATTGAAAAAAAAGTATTTTAATTACTTATCATGCTTCCCACTTTTGTGCTTCTCTCCAGTTACTTCAATTGATCTTTTCTGTATTTATCAGAGTACGGAAACTAAACAGAAATGGCAATTAAAGGGAAAACTATAAACAAAACTATTAAAAAAAAACAATTAAAGAATGATTGAAAATGAGTCATGTTTATGTTTACTTTCCCAAATATTAGAGCAAACCATTTTACTGGGTAACACCAGGTGAACAACTATTTTCTGGTAATATTGAAGATATTCATGGGAATTGTTTTGAATTTTTCTGGACTAAAACTAACTTTAAGTATTACAACAATCCAGCCAGCCCAGAAACAACAAACTAAACTATCTTCGATGTTTTACTTTAAAAATCAGTTACATATAGTAATACAAATGCATGCCTAAAAACTTTCTCAGAGGAAGAGACGTTTTGGTGACCAGTTATACTGTTCCAAGAAAATGAATACCAGATAGGCAAACTGGAATAACTTTAGAGAAGAACATAAAAATGTTTGGGAACAGAAAAGACTGACTTTCCAGGAAAAGTTTTTTATGCAAAAGCCATTTGATTAAACAGCACTGACTACACAACTACCTGTAAGGGTATTGTGCTGTCTGAATTAAGAGCTTGCTTTTCAGAGTTCTCCAGGGGATACAGCTAAAAAGATTCATATGAGCAAACTTATCTCAAACAAGGAAAATCACTGACAGCACAGAAAACGTGCAAGTCGTATTAGCAAATAAGTAAGTAAAACAGAAAGAAAAAGACAGAGAGAGGAATCCATTTTCCTGCACAGTGCATCTAAAGGGTCTCCCATTATTCACGGTTAAAAGCTAGCCTGGAAAGCACTCAAGAATCTACTGTAAGGAACAATAATGTACTGGCCAGAGCTGCAGATGATCTAATAGGTTTGCAATTATGTCCTTACAAAGAAGGAGTGCAAAAAGCTACAGCTGATATTTAAAAAAATACATAGCCAGTTAATAAAGCTATAGGAGTTAACTGTAAGCTCTTCAAATAACGTATGAAGTTCAATTCAGCAAAAGGATAAAATTTCTCCTTTAGCAGGGCTTTTTGATTCTCCTCTAATTGTCTGAGATACTTTTATTAATCTTATTTATGTTCAGAAAATACGCACCTATCCACATTATGACTCACTTGCAGGAACAAAACCTTAACTGCCAGATTACAAAGTTACAGAAAGACTATAGTATCAATTTATTTCTCCTTGTGATTCACACTGTTTCAAATTTCAGTGCTTATGGGAAGATATATAGCATTGAAGTGGAAACCTGTTAATTAAAGTATGAAAAAGTCATAACAAGTTGTTTCTAAAACAATACTGTTGAGCTGACTGGACACGTCCCAAATAAAGTCTTAATCTATTTTTTAAAAGACAGAATGGAAACTGACAGTTCCCTACTAAGATCCAGTCCATTCTGGCTTCACTAAAGCTTACATAATATCACTTTATTTTTCAAAATATCAGAGTTAGCTGGATTAAAGACAGTTCTATGTTTATTTGTACTGCAAGTCTACTTCAAGCAATCAGCACGGTCAAACTGTGATGGATACCTTGTCCCATGTAACTCTGGGTTGAGACAGTTTGTATACTTGTCTTTGTATAGGAGAACAGGACTGCTCTTCAGAAGCTTAAGCACCACCAATAAGCAACTGAAAAGTTATTCTGATTATATCACACTTCCCCAGCTCAGATCCCACCCATTCCCGTTTTAAAACATGTGTTTTCATGATTGTCTGGAACCAAAATGTAGTATTTTATAGCATGGACAATTTCAATTCAGATTTTTGGAACTAGAACTAAAGAAAACAAACTTTGAAGGTAATAGCTATCAAAAGCTGTTTAACACAAAAGCAAAAGTATAAAAAATTTTTTGTAACACAGGAAAAATAAGGATCTTTGCTTGTGGAACTACTGAAAAATTCATGTACTCACCGCTCTCCTGGGTCATTAGGGCTACCATGGCCAGGTTTCAATATACCAAGTCCCAGATTTTAAAACAGAGGAATTCTCAGTTTTTAGAAACAATTTCATTTCTTGTTTTCAGTGCCTATTTTTTTCCTGTCAAACTAACTCTGCTTCCAAAAGGAATCACCACAGTTAAATGAACCAGCTGCTATCCCTAAGAAAAAGCCAACACGTAACTAAGCAACAAAACAGGAGAAATGCGAACACTTTATAATGTGTAGCATAGAGCTTTCTCTTTGTAACTGGTAATATTTATTACCCTTACAGTATACACACTTCCAAGTAAGTATCAATCTCACTGTTTCCATCTTTAGTTGACATAAAAATGAAATGTATTACTAGTATTAAAAATTCTTAACAAAAATAGAACGTTAGGTGTTTTTATGGAGCCATCAAAGTTGGTAGGTAGTGTGTCTTTGGTAGGAATAACATGCTAGAGATACTAAAATTGATAAGCAAGGGCTGATTTGGGAAAGCCTTGTGATTAGTTACACTACCCTCATGAATCTTTACACAGGACAGTAATTAGAAAAATTACTAAGAGAGTGAAGCTGAAAGGTCTAATCCAGCCCTTTGTTGCCCTTGAAGTCTCTCTAGTTTGTCAAGTGTGGACCAAAACGGCCCAAAATAACTTAATACTCCTTCTAAGTCTCAACCAAACCCATAGACTTTAGTTCTCCAATCCATAATCCAATGTTTCTTTCATAAACAATTCCGTCTTCACTAACAGCTCATCCACTTACATCTTCTAATGTTTTCGGATGTCTTATATTTTTATTCTCAATAGTATTTGGGACTCCTCTCTAATTGTATTTTCTCTGGATTTTAAGACATGATGCTTACCTTCTTTTCTACCTCACCATGGAGATTTCGAAATAACACTACAACCTAAAGACTCCACCATAAAATTTAGTCCTCACAATAAGAATGAAAAGCTACAATGAATTAACAATTTCTAGTACGTATGTGCACTTTTCTCTTCCTGCTTCTGGTATCTCAGCAGAGAAATTATCCTCTTTTCAGAAGCAAATTATTTTTAATGCTCCCAATTGTCTTTTTACATTTTCCTTTTTCTTTTTTTTTGTTTTAAACATAAACAAAATACCTTCTAATGAATAGTAAGCAACATCAGAGGCCACATTCTTAGAAAAGAAACATGGGTGGTCAAGTTTCTCAGCTTTTGGTCTGCCTTCACTTAACACACCAGAAGCACATGCACACCACCACTTCGGTCATACAGAGACTGCAGGCTGTTAACAAAACCTTACTCAACAGAGAAGCTTGGCTGTCAATATCTTAGAGGGTTCCAATTAGATTCAGGGATCTAACATATTTTTAAACGAAACCTTAGGCTATTTCTATATATTTATTTGCTTTTATTACAATTTTATTACACTAAAAAATGTTTAACCATGAAGACCAGATGAGCCATTGCCAAACCTGTTGTTTTTATTTTAGGGATATATATTACTCATCTACTTTATTCCAGTCTTTACCATCTATACTAATGGAATACCAGCTTAAAAAGTAAAATCTAGGGTAAGAGAAAAATACAGGTATTTTTATGTGTATGTTTTAACACGTAATGTTTACAACTGCAAAATATCCATATTTTTAACATTGTATATGCATATCTACATATTTTGATGGACTACTTGAAGCAAGCTAAAAAGCAATTAAATGAACCAAGCTTAAATACGAGAAGCAATCCCCAAAACAAAATAGACAGGATTTTAGCTGCCCTAAAGTACTTTCTAATGCAAAAATTCTTAAGCAGTAAAGACTGAAGGTCAGAAGGCGGTAACTTAACGGCTGCAAACTGATGCAAAGACCAACAGGAGCACTCATAGCCTGTTCTCCGCTTTTCAACAGTGCCTTACTCATGCTATCATACAATACTTTAGCTTGAAACAAAAACACTATGATTAACATATTCATGGAACTGTTACATTCAGATAGTGCTTAGGCGACATTCACAGTTTCAAAGAATGGAGACAAAACCATCTAAATTTGAAAATCTGGTATCAGTGGTACATGTTTTTTCTCCTGTTAGTTTCGCATTTACAATATATGACTAAGTGTTTAGTACTCACAGGCTTACCATCTGGACCAGGCTGACCAGGATAACCATGATTCCCAGGCTGCCCAGGGTCACCCTATGGAGAAGCAATATGTTAACACACAAAAGATACGAAAGAGCATTTTAAAATTAGCACACAGCAACCTTAACCCTAATACATTCCACAAAACAGTGGCTGCAAGCTCAGATATCTGCTATTGAGGAATAATTCCTACATCAAAAAAAACCTGATCTTGTAAACCCTCCCTGGGAAAATTCTCCCCAACTTCTTGTGCAGGACTTAGAAAAGTGAGCCCATGTTCAGTTACAACACAAGTTTGGCCCATCATCTCAAATGCTTTCAAGCTTTTTAACATCTTAATCAACAGAAATAAAAGCCCTTTTCATCAAATAGATGAAAAAATCTTTATTAAAACCTTGTTAACCTAGTAGTCCTACTCTGAAGAAAACTTTCACCTGCTTTGGCTGAGTCTAGTTCTTAAAGCAAAAGCACTGGAAAGGCAGGAGACAGGATTAAAACCTGCTAAATACTAAACTCCTCTCCACAAACTTATTGCTGTCTAAAAAAGATCTTCTTTTAGATTTCTTCTTATAAGGCTTTTGTAATTATTTTGATAACCTCTGTTATGACCATGTTAAAGGAAAAGCAAAATCCAGTAAGGCTTGATCTATAAAAACATTTTACTTCTACAGGAGCATTAGGCAGCTACGGCTTTCTTCAGCCTGAACCATCAACATACCTGCAGGTAAGCTACAACCGCAGAATTGTTAGAAGCAGGGAGGGCATTAGAAGGGAAATAGGAAACTAGCTTTCAATGTGACTGTGAAAAACCATCCTTTCACATTTAGACCACAGAAATGTAGTGCTGAACTAAATGGGAAAATATATAGAATAATGTCTCTTTAGAAAAGCGCAAGTTGTAATTTGTTAAATTAATAATTTGTTACCCAGAATTATTCTTGTCCAAATTAAGAAGTCCAGGCTTGAGATTTGAGCAAAAATAAATTTGCTTTCAAATATAAACTATTTGAACTATGAAATTTTATGCCTTTAACTTTAAAAGGTTAAAATATCAGTTACTTGTATTTTTAAATTGTTTTAGTTTAATTAATTTTATAGTACTCCATTCATAGCACACACACAAATTAAGTTTAAATCTCCACAGTTCCAAAGTTCAGTATTCAAAAGTTAAGAAATATTGTAACTAAGATAACCTATACAATCTTAAATTGGCTTCCTTTTCACTCTTTCTGCAGTCTTTCGTGTTAGGCATCATCTTGTCATCTGTATTATTCAGTTATCCCCCCAAAAATATTATACTGCAATGCAATTGAAAGATTGCACATGAAGCAGGGATCTAAATAAAATTATATAGGTCACCCTAATTCTGACATTTCATCCTCCTTCATACTTTACAAGATGTGGTTTTCAATTTTTTTTACATTATAAAAACTTTCTTCTCTCTCTCTCTTTTTTCTCTAATATGCTAAAAAGGAAATAAAAAAAAAAAAGGAAAAGGTAAAAGACCACAAAAATTCTATTACATGAAATAATAATGGTCTACATGTTGTGGATTCCAGTTCCCTGATTAGAAATCCTTAACATTGTAGCAAAAGGCCCTTTGACTTGAGGTAGCTGCAGCAGACTGTTAAGCCCTTATATGATGAGAGTAGAGTTTTTTTAATCATTTGTTTAATGACAGACAAGCGGTTTGGGGTTTTCTTATCTACCTGTATAAGGCAAGATAGTAACTCTGGAAGCACTGCTTAGTACATATATTGAGAAAGGTACTAGAGCAAAATACTAGGGATTTGAGTTTGCCATATTAGACATCTGAGACCCAAGTCTGGTTCTCATTTTAATCCTTCACCAACATTGGAGAGAGAACAGCAGAACAGCTAAGGCGGAACTCTCCCAGTAAGCTTCTAGTCCATTCTTTAACAAAGAGGAAAAAAGCCTCTCCATTAAATGACTTTTATTAGCAAACCATTTCATTCTCAAACAACTAATAGTGCAAGATAATTTGCTGAAGAGCAGCAAGGAAATACAATTTTACATCCATGAGCATTTTCCTTTAAAAATAAGACATATTTGTGTTATTAGGAGTTATGGCACCAAAATCTGACCTTGAGGATCCTAATCACTATATTCATGCACAGGAAACCAGAAGTAGGAGAACTTGTCCCCTACTTTTTTAATTTGCCTGACTATGACCAGTCAACACAAGATTGGGGGGGGGGGGGAGGGGGGGGGGGGGGGGGGGGGGTAGGGGGGGAGAAAAAAGAAAGTTGTGTAAGCTCAGTAAGATAGAATGGAAACTTACTTTGGGGCCTGGAGGTCCTTGTTTTCCTGGCGGGCATATGCAGGGGGCAGGTGTTGAGCCTACATCACTAGGACCATTCATGCACTACCAAGAGTGAAACCAGCTATCAATACACATGCCAACAGCATTCAAGAAACATATCATAACATTATATGAAGTTGATTTTCCTTAGGTTGCATAGGTCCTGGCATTAACTGCTTTGTTCAGCTGGAACTTCTGCTTATCTGAATATTGCCCTCCGACTACTTTGCATGCATGAATTCATCATTCCACCCAGAAGAAAAATAAATAAAAAATTAAGTACTAATACTGGGCTGATAGCTGAAACTCTATTTGCTTTTCCACAAATATTTTGTCATACAGTTTGATAGTTTTAAATCTGGCAACATGCAAACCTGTTCTCCTAAACTGATATTCATCATTTGAAGTGTGACCAATTATCAAATATAACTATTTAATTAAAGTTTGTAAAAAGAATCTAATCAATCACGTATAGCATGACCACAACCGATGGGCATGCTATCGTGTGTAGCAAGCCTGAAAAGAATGTAAAGCCCAAGTCTCCTACCTCCTGGGCATGTGTCCCAACTACAAAGCTACTTGAGGAAAGGTGGGGCATGGCTGCTACCATCGACTCCTACAAGTCACTAGTCCTGGCCCCCAAGGGTGCCCATCCTCCAAAGACCATTAGGTGACCTCCTCCAAACTATGCTCCCTATACAAACAGCAGTAAACACTAAACCTTAGCAGACCACATCACCCTCTAGTGACTGTGGTTTTTTTGAGGTATTTACTTCTCACCATTGAAGCCACATAGAACCTCAGTGTTTTACCAGGCAGGCAGGGGGAGAGCTACTAGACCAAATCCATTTGCCTAAGGTCAGGCACCCAAAATTTAGGGTGTACTAAATCTATATGCTAAAGTTAGATTCAGTGAATTCTTTTTCATCCAGCAAGTTCTTAGAGCTATGGAAAGGTAAAAGTTTAAGAATCCAAGACACAAAAAAGCAGATTTTGTTTTTATTATCTAAAACACTTTCTATAACATTTTACTCATATTTTCTAAAATGCTGCAGACTTTTTACAATGTTCTCTGAATGGAATTCTTTCTCAGGGTCAAATGATTCATCAAAACACAAATTCATGTTTCCCTTGCAATGGTACTAAGTGGAGTTATGAGGATGGCTAGGGAAGCTATCATATTAAGCCTTCAAACAAACTCCTCTTCAGGGAGCTCCCATTAGCATGAAGCAGGTAACAGCTACCTGACTGTGCATATCCCCATTCATTTTGCAACAGCATCCAGCCCTGCAAATAAGAGCAATTGAATTGAACCAGGGAAAAAAATTCAGGCCATTTTTTCTAATAAATATGGGCTTCTTCAGAAAACTGATTTTTCTCTATTGATTAGAGTTCAGTTAATGGAAATCCAGCACTCAAGCTTAGCAAACCTCTGTCCCCTTTTCAAAACAAAGTGTATATTCCCCAGAATAATAAGAAGTTTATATAAAGTCAAATACTACCTTAAACTGAGTTTGAGCAGTTTAGGATTGAGCCTACCTCTCCATTCTGAAACAAGAAGAAACACAGTTTCAGAGTACAGCAATATTTGTAACAGGCAACAACCCACTCATTTGTAAACACCACCAAAACCAATCATAAATTGAGGGCTTTAACTGTCAAGAATTATAATTGAAAATTTTAGACTTTCTCAGACTTACGTGTAGCTGCTATCAATGCATATGAATTTTTAGTTCATTTCGTTTAAGGGTCTTTCAATAGGAGCTATCAGTAGCAATTTTTAAAAGGCAATGACAAAACTAGAATTAATACTGAACCATGTAAATATTTACATACTAAAAGTTTAGATTTGGGTCAAATCTTTTGCCTGGAATAATTTCTCATCAAAATATCCTCTGCTTACTCATTCAGGTCAGAGAATGTACTAAAATATTTCTAAATCCTCTGATCTCCGCCTGAATCCAGCATCTGGGAAAACTTACAGCGGCACAGAGGTAAGGCTGGCTTTTTCTCACTTTCCTGGGTGACTGCATTAGACGCTGCTATCAATTGAATTGAGTTTTCCAGTGTCTGAACACTACAGAACAATCCATCCCCAAACACTTCAGCATACCAACCATGAAATTGTCTGTCTTAAGCATTTAGTAGCCACCATTAGCTGCATCGTGTACAGGAGTTTTCTAATGTACACAGTCACCACAGACTGCATACACAGTCTGTGGAGAGAGACAGCTTCCTCTGTATTCAATTTTCATCTTAGGCAACCTCTAGAGAAGGTTCCCTTTCTCCATGGATCATAGAGGGAGCTTAAAATTACTACGCAACTAGGTATCTCCAGGAAAGGGGATGAATTCAGGCTGTAATTACTACATACAGCCCCTGCTTAGTTCAGGAGCTCTGACACAATCATACTCTGACAGAACAGTGCCACAAACTACATATTCCTCCTTGGAGATCATTCAACATTTTTATTTTCTGCAAGGAGTCCAGAATTTCATGGGTAAAGTCCAAACTCAATTTATAACAACAGCAAGTGAAACTAAATTGGCAAAAAGCAATCTTTTTCCTTGGACTTCTTGCCAAATCACAGAGAATGCAAGATACGATGGAGTTTTTAGTGTTTGCTTTCTTTATGCAAAAATGTTTTTCATTTGTTTACTTTTCATATTCTACTTCTCTTTTGTAAAGAGTAGAAAGATATGCGGTGCAGTTAAAAAGCGAAATACTAAGTTTACTTCAGGATTTAAAGCTAACTTTACAAAAGTGTTCCTGAACCCATTAGTTCTTGACACACACAGTCAGATTTCAGAACAGCTAATAATCCAGCAACCTGATTGTTGTTTACATGAAAGCTGTGAGTTTTCAAAAAAGCCCTAATAAGGGTGTTGATTGCAACGGACACACTGGCCTCAAACAAATAGAAGAAAAATAGACTAGCTGGGGTCTGTGCAAGTCCAATAAATAATAATATATCTGGATGTTGAAGACTCACAAGTTCTACTGTCAGACTGGCAAAATGGTCTTAATACTAAACAAATCACGACATGAAGAATATGAGTTTACATAGTAAGATATTGGTGTCTGATTAGCTTTAGCTCAGTTTGGTTTAGACACCAAACTAAAGAGGACATTTTGATGGAAACTGTACATATGAAACAACCTCTTGCTTATATTTTGAGATGGGAGCTGAACACTTTTGAAAACCTGGCTCCAACTGCGTTTCATGAATGGTTTCCAAATCTGTTTGCATGTGGTTTACATCTCATTGCATAATTAACTGTAAGCAAGAGGGCAAAGAGAGGATCAAAGGATCCCTATAAGCTTCCTAACTGTCTACATGAATCATAAAATCCTGAACAGGATTTCATTTTTGTCTTATCCAGAACATACTTCATGAAATCTTGGCAACATTTCAGTTAATGGGATATTTAACACAAAACATCAGAATAGATACTTCTGATAGGAAAAGGTGATTTAAAAATACAGGTTTGTTAGTTATGTACAAAAATTTCAGTGATTAAATGACCTGACAAGTAGCAAGAAGTATATCAGGTAAGTTAAAAAGTAGTATTTAAAGTATTTTATGCTTCTGTAACCTAGCAGTTTTATTAATTTAAAATGTTTAAAATCTTACATTGTAACAGAAGATTCTGAGATTCTTCTATACTGCTGTCAAATTTCCAGCATCAAATATCTAAACTAAAAAAACTTTTAAAATACGTTTGTGCAAAAATAAGGCTGAAAACATACAAGTTCTGTGTCACTTGATATTGCACAAGTAATAAGCATTTGTTTGCACCAGCCAAATCAATGTAGTATTACTTATTTTAAGAATTCATTGAATCAGTTTTAAACAGTGATTTGTAAAAAATGCCAAGTAGTCCTCAAAAGTTTGTCTATCATACTCACAAATCCCGGGATCTCACAGACTGTTTCTCGATTATTTTGCTCTGGGTCACAGTAGATTCGCAGTTTTTGTATATCAAACTATAATTCAAAACATAAAAGGTTTTTTTAGAGAAAATGTTAGTAGTCTGACATTAGGTTAAACTATACTGTTCTTAATTATATTATCCACAAGTTTAAAAAAATGAAAAAAATATTAAAAAGCAACAGAAACGGGAAGCTCTGTATGTCCACTATGGTTAAAAAATCAATTAAAGATACAGAAACATTTTTAGTTAGGCTACTCACAATGATCAATACATGCAACCAATTAAACATTCTGTAACAGAATTATTTAAAGAAAAATAATCAATCCAAGATTTTGTCTTCTAAAATAGAAATCACCACCCCTAATCTTTGGCAATAAATTCAGATATGCACAGCATGAATTACACTGGCTGCCAATATCATTGGGCAACAAGTTACAACAGCACAGGCAAAACCCAACCTTTTCCGTTTTTACCTTAATAGCCCCGAGAGGGTGTTTCTACACCGATCTGTCTCTATCAGATATAAGATTAGTAAATTTTGGTAAAGCACCAGAAGGCTTCCCTGATGCTTGAAAGAATTTGGTTTAGCTGTATAACATAAAGCTTTGAAAGGCAACCAACAAGAACATTGACACCAGGTAAGCACGTTTGTGCCATTCTGCCCTGTTGCTACACTCCAGAAAAATGAAACCACTGAAGTCAGTTTTTTCCAGCATAAACTATAATGACTGCAAAGAGAAAAAAGCCCTGCTACACTCACTTGAAATCATAGACTATATATGTTGCACTAGCAGGGGAAGAAAGCACAGAAAATGGAGTCTGTTAATACCATGCCTAGCAATATGTGTTTTCAAATTTAAAATGTCTACAATTCACAACACTTAAGTATGTACACAAGTTTACCATTGCTATACTGGAAAGCACTTTAGCCAGTAAGATCTTAATTGAATAGAGAACACTTGCAAAATATCACTAGAAAACATGTGAATCAGAGCACAAAAAGTGAATGAAAATTCACCAAAGAATCTCTGAAGAAGATTCTTGTATCATACTTTGCATCCGACTCCAACTGATTTCTTCCTTAAAGGATTTCAAAATACTTTTTCACTGAAAGGTGGTATGCAGATTCATTAAAATATTTCTCTGTCATCATAGTTTAAACAGAAATATCCTGGCAAAGCTTGTTAATGCTTTGCAGAATGCATCACAGTCTGAGAAAGTGGAGAAAGGAAACACCTTTTTTAGAAAAAGAAATCACCTGGAAATATAAAAATGCAACCTGAGGCAAATTTTCTACTTTTCTTCTAGGCCACTATCAGAAGAGGATCTCATACAATTTGACATTCCTAAAATGTTTTCATTTTTATTTGAGATAGCGTGTCTTGCTACTAACATTCTTTAACTCAGAAACTGTATTACTGGAAATCTATAAAAGTCCCATTTCTGCAGTGACTTAAGAGAAAAAACAAGACACAACAACAACAAACAACCAACCCTCTAATCCTAGAATGCACAAGAGTATAAAAATGGGATAATCCTGCACCAATAGAGAAAATGCATGAGATGATTGATTACATCTGAAATCTCTACTTTCCTTGCCATAAGTGCTTGAAGTCCTATCAGAAATCTGTGACAAACATTCAGTAGTTTTCGCAAAGGGGTACTTTAGTATACGGACAATGGTACCACCAGAAATGCTGAGTTACACACACAGTGCGTCATCCAAGTTTCCATGTACACTTTTAGAATATGATAATAATAGAACTGAAGCCTGGCTACAAATACACAAAATTCAGGAGTAACTGAGTAAAGACATCTGAAGAGAGTTAATGATAATGCAAAACACATTAATATATTTTAATAGCAATAAGGATCATTAAATTAGAGTACAAAAAAAGCACAGCTTTCAAAATAACTAAAAAAGTCTACATACGTAATTCAGTATTTCTTAGTATTATTTCTATTGCTATCAGTCTGATCAGTAATGTCATCACCACACTGCTATAAATATAAGGAAACAATCTATTTAGCCAACATCTGGAACACTAGTCACCACTGATCTACACAGCCTTTACTTATACAGCCTGAAGTTTTAACCAGCTTTTCAGTGTCTGCAAAGAGCTGAAGGCAAAAGGACTTTAACTTTCCTCCGAATATAGGAGAACCTTGGCACAGGGTTTTCAGGAGGGTTTTCCAGAACAGTAGAATCAGTGGCAGTTTGAGTATCAAACATTTGCAGTATAACAGAAACACAGTTGATACACCTTGTACTTTTGTGGCCACTAGTGATGAGAAAGAAACTTCATCAAAATTTTGTTTTCTCCCTTTTTAACCAGCATAACCCATACTTTGATGGAGAGAAATTATATGCAAGTGTTAAGCACAGAGGAAATCCCTTGCTATTCTCCCAAATTCAGGTGTCCATGTTGCAACAAATTTCTGTTTCAGCAAAAACAAATGCCTCCCGAAGATCAACTAAGCACCCACTGCACAGGATATATCAGTTGTGCTGAGTCCTCCTGATCATTTATGTCCACTCTTAACTATTAAAATTCTGTATATTACATTTCAGCCTAGTGTAAATTAGAAGACTAAGTTCAAGAAAACAGAAGGAGCCAATGCAATTTTAACCTACAGCAGAATTTCTGAATGACTGTGGTTTTAGCATATGCATACCTGTACAGTTTCCTCCTTTCCAGAATACTTTCCTACTTGGGTTAGGCCACTGATATAAATACCTAAAACAGGATGTAAAGGCTTCATTTCAATTTCTTGGTCATCTATATACAAAGTTACAAAGTCTTCTGTTACTAAGAGACGAATCTGATGCCAGCCTTCATCAAACAATGCCTAAGAAAAGTGAAGAAACAGAATTGTTTAAAACAAAACGTCTTCAATTGAAATAACAATAAAACTGCACTTCAGCATTTAAACTACTGTTATTGGTTGAGGTGATCAATGTTCCAGCTTTTGTCATACAAAAAATTGTAAACTGTATAGGCAAAAAGTATTTGCGAAGTAATATTATAATTGAGAAGATGATATGTGGTAGCAATTAATCCCTATTTCAGAATTATTTTATAATTCACATAGATTTTTTTCAGTATATGGTCTTGAATATGCTCAAATCTGTATTTGTTAAATATATGAAGCCAGAGGCCTTTTTTTCAGCAGAGGTATAATGTCTCAAACACTTCCAATCTTAAGTCATGGTGAAAACAAATCAGTACTTGGAAGTCTTTCTACTTAATCTCTTACGAAAAAAAGTCTTAAAGGCAACATGGTATTGGCAGAAAGAATCGCAATGTTGCAATGAATAAACCAAATATTACATTCACCATCTCGGAAAACCTCAGGTTTCTAAAGCTTAAGACTTAGTTTAAACAAATAGCATAGTTCCACAAGTAACAGAAAATGAGAGAGACCTTTAGAGAAGTATTTCTCTCATCTACCTTAGAAATTAAATTCAACATGGGAAGAAACGCCTTCTTCTTTAGCCTATCCATTAATTTCAAAAACAATCTAGCTCTTTAGCCTAGCTAGCCTAGATGCTTAACTTTTGTATAGCTAAATTTAATAGAGACTAATCCCACACTAAGTTGGCATACATAAGAGCAAACTGAAACATACATCTTTCAGTATGCTATATATCTTTGTTACCTTTTGTAGACATAAACAAAAATTAAGCTTACTTCACTTAATAGTATATACCCTTAGATAGCACCTCTGTTTCTATTTTATTTTAATTTGTAGGTTGGGATTTTATTTACAATGGCTCTCACTACAAGATAAAATAAACAACAGATCAGAGTATATAACATTTCCATTTTCCTGAGTGAAAGTGATACATTATCATAAAGGTTTATTAAATGAAAAGGTTCATTAAAAGCAAAACAATACTTATAGTGTGTTTAGAGACATACAGCTCTAAAAAGGGTATAAAATTATTGTTCTCCATAATAGCAATACAAGCATAGAGAAACACAAAAGGAAAAAAAAAAAAACAAAAGTCTTATCTTCACGGTGAAGTTCATGAATACCTGGTACTGCAGGAATAAGACTGATTTGTCACTGCAGCTTCCAGAAATAATTAAATACAAATTTTCGGACTGACTTGAAACTGAAGTTTCTAACAATTTCCAGTAAATCAAGTTTAACACTGCTTCTTAAAAAAAAATTATTATTTCACCTACTAATAATCATAAAAAGGCAGAGGAAATTTGAAAAGAAAAAGTAAAATTCTCCATCCAGTAACAGAAGAATAAAATACCTCGACCTAGCAAAAGCTTAGTAGTTAAGACCTTCTCTTGGATAGGAGTCTTTCCTTCTCTGAGGACTTGTATTTCAAATTCCTTCAGCCTGATTTGGAGCAAGGATTCAAGTGCAGGCCACTGCTTTCCAGAAAAGTTGAACCCACTGGACCATGAAGCACTTTCTTACAAGAGTTGAAGACTTCACTGGAAATTACTGAAGAAATACTGAAGGAGAACCTTCAGATTATACTAGAAGACAATAAAATTGGTTTGCACAAAGAGGGGAATCCCTTCAGTCAGAAAAATGAGTAGCTGAAAGGAATTTTTATTCATCAGAGAACTAGACAAATCCAAACTGAACTCTCATTTTGTAAGCTGCTATTTACTCTTCTGGAGAAGAAAGTAACTTTTGTCATTATGTATTTTCAAGGAATTTAGACACGTAACAAAAACTCTCTCTAAAAATGGACTGTTTTCATTCACATTTTCTAGTCTTTATATGAAAAGCAAAAAATGCTTTCCAGCACATGTTAAGCAAAGAACTATGTGAAAAAAAGTCTCTGTGATCTTCACAATTACCTGCTGAAAACTACTAAGTAGAAAGCATCTGCAAAGCATTTACAATGATGATGACTGTGGACACTCTGGAAACATGGGTAAAGTACTCCCCATTTATTTTTAAATGCCCAAGCAGCCAAAAATAAGACCACTCATTTTTAAAAACCATAAAGGGAAAAGGAATAATGTGTGCTTAAATGAGCATTCCAGCACGATGACGATTTACTCCTTACCTTTACATGAGGTGTAGCAAAAGTAATAACTTGTGTGCCATTTATTAAACTTGTTGTAGTGAATGATAATGTTTTCTCTTCTCCATTAATAGTGACTGCTATCTGTGGTCTCTTATCCAGACTTAGAATTCTCCACAAATCCCATGTCTTTTTTACTTTAAATCTTTGAGTGGAAACAAACACATAGGATGGCGGCAGACCTTCTGGAAACACATTCCTAAATAAGGGGGAACAGGGGGGAAGACAGTACTTGAACATTCATATAAATTTTAAAATAAGTCTCTCTCACTTTAAGCAAACAAAAAAAAAATTCTTACTAAATTTAGAAGTGTATTTGTAAGTTTAAATACCTTGTCAATTCCGACAAGTCAACATGTGAGGTTACTTCATAAGCTTTTGCATTAGTGGTTGGTATTTGAATTCTCTTCTTAATCTTTTTCTTCACACCTAATCCTACAAGAATGTCAAATCCTTTTTCATCTCGAGCTGCCACTGGAATTCTTGTTGGACAAACAGATTCTACAAAGTAAAAAATGCAAGTACAGTTCAAAATATGACTTAAAACTTTCAAAAAGTAACCTCCCACTTAATTTTTTGTAGCTGCATTTCAAGAAATAAAAGAGAATTGAGAACTGCCAGTTAAGTATAACATGAGAAGTGACATGCAGAATCCTCAGAGACATGAAGCGTGAATACAGAGATATTTTACTCCAATTACGTTCACATACTATTTTGATTTGTCACTAATTGTAGTTAAAAGGTATTACAATATCTGACTAATAAAAAGATTGAATTTAATTTCTAAAATTGTATGGTTTCAAAATGCTACAAAGTTACAGATGTTAATTGCCACGATCCACTAACAATTTGGATTAACCCAGCATCCCTCCCAACTATAAAATCAGGTTTAAAATGGACAAAGGTAGAATTATCTACAACCATTTTTTTCATCTTTTTTTGCTTGAAATGGAATCTGATCTGTTTTATCTCTTACACTGAAATCTGCTTGAAGCTATTCTCACTGGCCAAATACCGAGTGATATATTTTCTGTGGAAATTAAAGTTACCTGAATGTTATCTCTGTTTAATTCTCTTTACACAAAAACAATACTAGGCAGTGGACCTAAGTTGCCTCAAAAAAGTGAGATAGCAGATTGAAATTTAGTGCTAAAGCCAACATTGTGTTAGAATAATGAATCAATGAAAAGAAAGCAAACAACTTTTTGTTTTATTAAAATTATGCTAAAATATTTACAATAAATACATTTTCATCAATCATTTCCCGTTGTTTCTTCATAAAAGCATCAGTTCAAGAAAGGGAAGAGGTTAGAAATACATTCCAAAGAAGGGGTGGAGAGTACTTTCACCTCCATTTCGACTAGCCATGGGCTGGAAAACTCATGTTTCAGTGCCAGGGAATTATCAGCTGAAAGGTCCAGACTGGTCTTTCTTTACAATATGAGCAATGCTGCATGGCTTGTCCTTCTAACCAACCCAAGGGCTGTCAGAAGCTACCTCATTCTGATGGGGGAGGCAGGATATATAAACTCTAAGAAAATTCAGGTGAGTGTCTGCACAAACTATCTATGGTGGGACAGGACAATCCATCCTAAGAGGATATGCCACAGGTACTTGGGGCAGCAGTAAGAAGCCATGTTCATTCCCCTTAGTTTTCTTTTCCTTTCCACAGCAAAATGTCATCTTATGTGCAATTTAAAAATATATTAAAAGTTATGTGTCTGGTTCTACAAGAAAGAATTGCAAGAACTCTTTTTTCCTACCTTTTGGAAACTCTCTACCTTCTGAATGCTTCAAAAAAAACAAAAAGGAAGTAAAAAAAAGGAAATACAAAGTCCAACACAACTTCTCACTCTTCTCAAAACACAGATGCAGCATTTAAGTCAACATACTTACGATATTAAGTACAAGTAATAACATTTTATTTTTTCAGGTTTCTTCACAGTGCATTGTTATCATGGAAACATTTTCTAAACTCATTTATTTCAAAACTGAGTAACAGTCATATTGCCATTAATATAGATTACAGATAATCATACCCACTGACAAGAAAATGAACACAAGAATCTCTTATCATTTACAGTATTGGAAATTTGGTGTAAAATAAAAAAATAAATGCAGAAATAGGATTACCTTATGTGAGAGGGCCATTATTCTGGATGAAAGCCAAAGTAACTATTCCAAACCAATACAATACAAATTAAGCACACGTAAAATTATACATTAAGAAACTATTCTTTATTTCCAATGGCACATTGAAGAATTACATAAAAACATTCCCAGTCAGGCAGATCTTTTTTGGGTCTTCTGGATCATCTTCTGGCAGGACTACTTTGGTAACTAACAGAGCCATTATACAGGATGCAGAACTCAGTGGTAAAATTAAGAACTGTCTTCCACAGGAAATGGGGTTGTGTTTCCAGTCCATAGTACCAGTCACAGCAACTCTAGAGCCTGTACTGAAATCTTGTTCCCTTTTACCCTTTTTATATAGTTTTCAGATGCTTTATTTTTCCTTCCTGAGGCATGAAATAATTTTTTTATGTTTAATCCCATTATCTAGCACAAACGAACTTTTCGCAGCATCCTCCAGGATTTATTCTGATTTTCATAAGTGTATCAAGAAATAAATACTATTATCCTCAACATAAGTATCATCATATTTTTTCAATGAAGTCCATACTCAAAGTGAGAGCAAATGAAAACTATTTTTCATTCTTACTAAGTGCAGAAATACGGCACAACTGAAATATGACTTGCATCAATTCTTGGCAATAAAACATGTACAAAATAGCACTGATAAACATCCACTGTATAATAGAGTCCTGAGTGATATATTTTAGAAGCAATTTTTTGAAGCTATCTTTTAGAAGCTACCTTTTTTATATATATGCGAAAGCCACGGTTTTACACCGTTATCAGAAAACTCAATGCAATAACGCTGCTAGTATTCTAAAGCTAAAAAGTCATTTTACAATGTTGGTCTTGGCTAATTCTTCTATGAAATCATTCTAAAACAGATCATAACAGCTTGTTACAATTCCAGGCACTTTTGCCAAAAGTCTCTGTTCTGGGTTTTTCAACACATACTAGTGGAAGAACTCCTGTTTGTAATGATAGGCTACCCTCTCAGCTGTCAAGAAGAAATGCTAGACTGCGAATGAGTATCAGTTGCACCTAGGAAAAGGATAAAGTAAGCCCTATATTCTCAGCACTATGAGAACTGCTCTACTATTTTAGGGTTTCTAAACTTTATCAATGCAAAAAATGTGGGGCTTAGGGCAAAATGCTGTGTGCTGAAATTAAACACACACTGTGTTAAAAAAGCACCATACCCTTCCCAAATACACTTCTTTGTTTAACAGAGAAAGTAACATTTTGGGAGTGATTTCCACACACAAGATCAAAACGAAAGAAGGTCATAGCAAAGATTATCAGGTGCCTTAGTTACATTAATCATGCATTCTGCTTGTGAAATAAAGAAATATGGGTACAGAACTACATTCTGAACACTTAAGATATTTTATAATCAATCTTACCTTCACAGAGTTTCTGCTTTATAACTTCTTTAATTCTTGATATTGCAATATAATCTTCAACATAAAATACATAAGTTGATGAAGGCTTGTTGGCAATAGCTTTAAGTTCATTCTCCTCAATTTCTGAGCCAACACCAATAGCAAACAAAGTGATTTTATTTTTCCTTGCTTCTGCTGCTACGTCTTTGACTTCATCTTGGGACTTTCCATCAGTGAGAACAACTGCTATTTTTGTTAAAAATCTTGAAGATTTTGCAAAAAGATGGTCAATGGCAAACTGAATAGCTCTTCCTGTTCTTGTATTTCCTCCCAAGTAATGTATGGACTCCATTTCCCTGATGAGGTTCTCGGTGGATTCATGAGTTCCAAGGGGAATTTCAAGTACAGGGTAATCGCTGTACTGGACAACTCCAACTTGAATAAACTTTGGCCCTATGTCAAAATTTCTTGTAATATTGACAAGCCAGCTTTTGATTATTTCAAAGTTTTCTGGGCCAACACTGTAAGAGCCGTCTAAGATAAAAACTAAATCTGCTGGGGCAGTTCTGCAACCTGAAAAAAAAAAAAAATCAAAAATATTTTAATGAATTTTTCCACCTTCTTCTTCCACAGGAAATATTTTTCATATCAATTACCATTTGTATTAGAATCTATATTGATAAATACATTTCATTTAAAAAAAAAATCAGCTGAGTTTATCAGAGAAAACAAGATTGTTTCTGTAAACCACACAGATTCAACTTTCTATCTGAAAACGATACCATTTTCTGGTTTTTATATTACCACTAGAAATGACTACAAAAAAATCTGGAATTCAGTTCCTTAGCTGGCAATTCCACTTCATACAATGAGCAGATAGGAATACATATTGGGTTTTTTCCATATCTCCTTGTCTGCACAGATGATAAACATAAAAACTCATTTTTGTTAGCAAACCAAGCACACTGCAGAGGAAGGCTATAGTCTGAATACTCCAGAATTCAGCAGTAACATCCAATCCTTTTACAAATACATTTAACTGACTTCTGACACTGGTACATGGCACTTACAGAACTAGTTACTATAAAATCCTGAGTCTCAATTGAACATTGCTGGTAGCATATTCTGATTTTACTAGAAGAAAAATGCTCAGCGAACGAGCTCAATCTCCAGAATATAAAATCACATAACCACTTAACAAATATAATGTAACTGCATGATGACCTGGGCATGGATTCAGCTCTCCTAGCTCTAGTGACTTATAAATGGAGCTTTTAGACTAAATTGTCAACTGCAGGCCGTGGACTGACACTAGCATTTCTACAGGACAGTCCTATTCATCTTATACGCATATGCTCAGATGGAGGGAATAACCCTGTAGAGGAGATAATCACCTTTCATTGACTGTGAAAGGAGCTTAGATAACTGACACACGAGGTGCCAAGGAGATGGCCAAAACCAGGTGAGGTATTTTGACTCCAAGTTGCATGGGGTCATGGGGGTTATCATGTATTAGTGTGCTTTCTGTTTTGTGAAAGGCTGCAGATCCACCACAGGAAGAAGAGCTTTTCCTTTTCCTGACATCTGCCTATGGACACTTCTGGTCAGGTCAAGATTTGACCTTCCTTGAAAGCAAGTGACCACTGTCTGCTGAGGGGATGCTTTTGCAATGCAGGTGGTGGTGAAGAGAAAGGACATTGGGAGGCTGATCAGAGTGCATCACTCTGTGGTCCAGGGGTATGAATCACAGAGTAATTTCAGTTGGAAGGGACTTTGGACATCATTGGACCCTGCTGAAAGCAGGCCCAGCTTAGAGCAAGTAGACGAAAAAAATACATGTCTTTCTAGAGACCAAAAGGAATTTTATGGAGCTTGTTGTAGAATACTGAAAATTGCTGGACTGAGAACAAAACTGGAGGAAAAAGACTGGTCCTGAAAGTATTGTGACCAGAGGAAAGTTTTCCACACTCTTTTTATTCAGCCACTTTGTGTTTCAAAAAGCTACTTTATGTTAACTTTTTCTTCTCCATAAACCAGATTTAGAGTATAAAATTTGGTTTGGTGGTGTTTGAGATGCTAATTTTGAAGAATATGCAAGAAGGTCTGTCTCAGACCTGGGGTTATGTCAGCTTCCTCTCACAGGACTTTTATTTTTCTGATTTAGTTTCTCACGTAACATTAAGCTATTCAAAACATGACTTCGGAAGCAATGAAAATATAAATACTCAAGACACAAGTTTAAATCAAGACTGGAGGTTTACAGTTCCATCTGCTCCCTTGGGCATCTCCAAGACACAAAAGGAAATAAAGATATTCCCTTCCTCAAGGAGAAATAAGATATTTAAGTTACTTATCATATATTATAGGATTTTCACCAGGAAAATTATACTGGGAAAAAATCACCATCAACAGAAGTGTACATGTGGACCTAAAAATAGTTACTATAAATTCAAGGCATGCTTTGAAGTTGCCCTTATCTGAAATATAAAAATTAAGACTTACTTGCTCTTGTTTCCCCATCTTCAGCTGAGATGTAATCATGAAGTAGCAGAATTAATAGCATCTGAAAAAATGTTACGATCTGTGCCATGTGTATCGTATTTTCAAAGCCTTGAGATTAAGCTAGGTAGGGAAGAAATGAAAAGAAAATACAGTGTTACTGTATTGCAAAACAATTCCAAACCTCTGTGTTTCAAAACCTGGGCATGAGGAACAACTATGGATCAAATCTGCAAGCGCAGGTGTACGGCCAGCTTGCAATGGACCACAGACCCAAAAAGTGTCAGTCTGGCCTGTAAGCCCAAAATTGAGATTCTAAACTCAGCAACACTCATTAGCCTTACTGTGGAAGCTCAGTTTTCACCAAGGCACATTTGTGTACATCTCCTGCTAGGTACATACATGGGTAGGTTATATTTCCAGTCCCAGCCACACTCATCCAACCGCTATCCCACCCTGCAACCATTATCCAAAGACTTGACAGCTACTGCTCCAAAATATGGCAAGTGTTCATCTATCAGGTACTGGTGGGAAGACATTACTTCAGTCTCAATCCACACACCGGGCTACTTCAGGGAGCCTGGGACAGCTACGACTCCTCTCCCCCAGGGCTGAGACTGCCACCAGGAGTCAGGGTCTGGGTGAGCGCCAGCCCTCTCCCGGCAGAGCCAAGCCTCACAGACTGTGTACCGTAACATCCAAGATTACATAAATTATATGCATCTTCAACTTTTTTTTTTTCCTCTGTTCGCGTTTCCTTTGTTATCATGGTCTCTGAATTATATCCCCAAAAGGGTTCTGAAGCAAACATGCAATTTTGGTCTCATGTTGCTGTCCTAAATATTATTTGACACATTTACTTAAATTAAGCCATATTTATTACTTATGTTTATTGAAAAAAAATAGAATCATAATGGGAAAAGATACATTTTTGGAATACTGTATTAGAGATTCATTCATTTCAAGACTCTGGGGGAAAAAAAAAAGTATACTGAATATCTTTTGTATTCTGTCTTCTCATCCTCCAATGCCAATGCAACTTTTCTGACTACATTTTTTCCTCTGCTACAAAACATGAACACTCTGAAAGAAAAAGGGAGGATTAACTGCTGGTCTGAGTAAGTGCATGTACGGGTGACTGAGCACTGGCACAGGTTGCCCAGAGAGGCTGTGGAGTCTCCATCCTTGGAGATACACAAAAGCCATCTGGACATAGTCCTGGGCAACCAGCTCTAAGGTTTGTACCAGATGACTTCCAGAGGTCCCTTTCAACCTCAACCATTCTGTGACCCTTCGATTTCTATTAAACTATGTGAAGTGTTACTTGTTCATGTAAGTGGAGATTTGGTCAATCAAATGTCATGAATATAAGAGGACAGAATTTTACAATAACATACCTATCTTTGTCTATTTTAACAGAAACTTTTTTTCCCTACTGAGTTATTTGGTTTACATTCAGAACAACGTTGTCTTTGTGCTGCTCAGGAATTGGTCAACCAATCTGCTTTTCCCGTATTTACAGGAAAATATCTAAACCATGAAAAAAAAAAAAGAAACTAAATTCAGGACAAATTTTCAGTAGCAGTTCAGGGCCAATTCATTGCACTACCCTTCAGTGTCACTAATTTAAGTATTTTACATCTAGCCAGAAGACTAAATATTCCTCTTCTCTCTACAGGCTTCGCTTTGTCAGTCACATTAGTCTTTATCTATTACACACTAGTTTATCACTCACATTCTTGCTGCTTTTCTCAGCCCATTTCCTAGGATTGAAATGCTTTCCGTGAATAAGGTCAAGACTCTT